TTTTTTTTTTTTTTTTCTTTTCTTATAGGCAATTAGGGACAATGTCTCCCGTTCATGTATTCATTCAAAAGATTCACTGTGTACTTCTTTGATAAAAAGGAATGGGACTATGAATGGCCATAAAACCTGCCATTAAGGAACATACGTTATGTGGAGTGGTGTCCATTAATTTACATGAAATTGCAGTGTGCAATGGTGACATTTTGAAACATGTTCAATTGGGGTTTAAAAAAAAAAAAAAAAGGCATAACATTCTCAAGTGTCTAGATGAAATTTGTTCCACGGACCTGATGACTGCTGAAAAATGAGCAAAGACTATCAGTCTGGATTTTGTAGTTTAGAAAACTTTTATTAAGAGACAAATTAGTCTTTCTTGGCGGCAGCCTTCCTCATGGCAGCCAGTACGTTGCTCAGCTCCTCTCTCTTTCTCTTTGCCCGAATGTGAGTACCAATCTGGGGAAGAAACAGAGTAACATTAGACTGACTGACTGTTATACTTGCTAAAATCTCAGACCACTGTCTCATCGTGATGTCACTTAATCTGGCTAATGATTAAAACTCCATAGGTACAAGGACTACACATATGTACAAAGGCAGAAATATACATACACTCCAGATTTCTGAAAGCTGTGTATAAGTGGCTCAGTCACTGCAGTAGTATGCATGTGTAAAAGTATTTGCTACTCCCATACTTAAAAAGAACTTAATGGAAAAAATGCTAGAGATGGACCAATATCTGCCTTGTTGACTGACAGTGGCCTATCAGCAAATAAGATGACTTTCACCAGTATCAAGGCAAATGTTTTAACTGCTGTGTCACATCAATTTTGCATACAAATGCTGATGTGCTCCAAATAGCAGCACGCTGTTCTGCGTCTCGTCTAATTCCATGGCACAAAAAGGCGTAAAAAATAAAAACATCGGTACCGGCTCAGAATTTCCCTAAATGCTGTGGCTGGTTAGCAGTTCAGGTTTACACTGGCAAGTGCCTTTCAAATCTATGACAGAAATAATAACTCACCCTCTTCTTGATAAACTTGAGGGCTCTCTTGTCCTTTGACACCTTCAGAAGCTCCATGGCTCGTCTCTCATATGGAGCAAAACCACAAACTTCACGGATCATGTCCCGAACAAACTTGCTGTGTTTGGTCAGACGCTGCCGAGGAAAGACAAGGTATTAGACGATGCTTAAACATAGTCCTATTATCTGAAATATATGATCAGTTCAAACTCTTAACTAGTGGAAATTCTGGTCAATTGAGGTGGACAATGTTTTAAAGATAATTCCCATCCTCAGTAGTACATTGACACTGAAAAAGAGGTCTTATGACAATATTTACATACCATTTACTTTGTCTAAAAAAGCTTATAAAAATTAAAATAAATGTTCTTATAATAAATATGCAACCAGATTTAGTTTCACCCTGCATAGCCAACACTGTAAATTTCCAACCATACCAAGTAGTAAGGTAAAGGTAACATTTAATAAGCTCTATTCATATTACATTAATACACAAAATCAACCATGAGGTTAAAACAAGTTCACACTGGTTACTGGGCCTACACCACACCACTTATATTACACTGTAGCATATTGTGCAATAATGTTCGATTTACTGCATCTGAGGATAGGATTATAAAATAGGTTTAAGTTAAGACTTTTAAAGACCATTATGAATGCATTTTAAGACCCATTTAACATCTGTACTGAAAAATAGTATCTAAGATATAAAAGGAAAAATCTGTTTTGTTTTCCAAAAACACATAAAAGCAAACCTAAAAAACAACTTCATACATGTAACCTTAACTTCAACAATCCAGTCAATTTATGACCCGTCAAAATCAGATTGAGACCGATTTTAGACCATGTCCATGCGGACACACTCGACACAGCATGACAGATGTAATAAATATGGACTTGTGCATATGAGACTTAAACTATTCAAATAAGTAAGGTGTTCAGTATTTTTAAAAACAACATTTGTTGGCAGTAAGAAAAATACCAGGATCACCAAACTTGTCCTTAACTTACTTGGAGTCATTCTCTACGCAAATTCAGTTTCATGCAACTTTACGCAAACTGCAAGATACTGGTATGATTTGTTTCATATGTTGGTGCAATAAACATTCATATACTGCCTGTTGTCAAACTAGGTTGTTGACTATTGTAATTTACTATCATACTGATATTTAAAGCTGTGAGAGCAGCTGTATGCTTTTAAAATAGCTGGTAGGAAAAAAAAGACATCAAAACTGTAGTGATACAAGAAAAGGAATGACAACCCCTGGTTACTGCCTGTCATTACAGTCACTGAACAGCAGATACTCACCCCGCGTCGGCGGCTGTGTTTGGGAGCAGTCACATTCTTAGTGACTGGATGGCCTTTGTTAAGGCCAACAGCCATGGGGTAGCGAATAGCCATATCTGTAGACCACACACAAAAGTTCACAAACAATAGATTTTAGTTAGCTGCTTGGCCGCTAAGTAGGGACGTCGTATCCTCTTTGAAACCATCAGATGCATTATTGCTGCCTCCAAATGGCAGTGTTCATTAAAGATCCCCACGTTCTCCTGGCTTACTGTTATTTTGAAACTCAACTGCCAACAGCAGCATATTTGACAACACTGCATTAGAACCTTGACAAACTGAAGAATACGGAAAAAGATCTGTAATCACTGTTACAACTTTTAATGGACACATTTTCTGCTTAGTAGTTGCTGCAGTGTGTTCAACGAACAGACCGGAGAGGCTGGTTAGTCACCGCTAACGCCGCTAAAGATTTTCATTAATTTACTTTGTTGTAGTGTAACAATATCGGAGATATATATAAAGTGAAGTCAATTCATTCAATTGAAGTCAATTTATTCTGTACAAATCGATGGATGACGGAGATTATACGTGGCTTTTAGCTGATAGTTGTCAACATCAAAATCATACCTGTTGTCTGGGATGGCGGTCAAGCCGGAAGGACTTCTGGTTGAGTGGAGCGTTGTAATGAAGGGGGTTGACCCGGAAGACACTTCTTTCACGTCGGCAGAGCAATGCCCCTGCCGGCCTGGAAGAGGTACTGTTTTTTTGTTTTGCGGGTTCAAGCATTGACAGTATGGGTCCAAACAACAATAATGTTGAAACAGTTATTTTTATTGAAGAATATTTTTTGGCCAAAAAGTCTCCCTTTACAAGTCCAAGTTATACCGTCTATGGTCCAAGTCAACTGTATAAAAAAGAGAAGTTGCATAACAAATACAACCCTACATGAAGAGAAACCAAATACAAAAAAAAAACAATAAGAATAAGAATTAATTAATAGCTATGATTAATTTTTTGTTGCAGTGTTTGAAGGTTGATGTAGTATTATAGTGAAAAAGAAAAGAAAAAGGTGTGACAGGTTATTGTGCTTTGATAACCATTGCTAAGTATTCAAATGTAGGAAAGTTTCCAAAAGAACACTGAGTGCAGCTAAAACTACTAGGAAAATAGTGGCAATCCCACCCCCTCGTTTGTTTTCTCTACTGGAGCATAAAAAGTTGCTTCAGTTAGAAATAAAAATCTAAGACCATGTTCAAAAATAAAAATCATTAATTTAAAACCATTTGCTGAAGAGGGATCTATAATAATATTAAAAAAATGAAATTATTCATATTACTACGTTCAGTGGCGTGCAGGGAGGGGGGGGATTGGAAATTGTTGAAAAACGCGTGCTAAAGTG